AAATTTAAAAATTAAATTTAAAGAATTTAAACTTTAAACAATATTTTCTATCATTTTCTCTACCTGCTTTTTAAACTTTGGTAAATAATTCTAAAACTGGTAGACGTTATCAGTATGTCATGTTATTGTGTTATATGATGGTATATGAATCTGATTTTTAAAAAATGAGATTGAACAAACAGTAAGAGTAACTGATGCCTATAGATATTTGGCCATACTGTCATAACATTATATAGCAGATACCTCTCTCATTTAAGATATTTTGGAACCTAACCCTCTGTTACTGTGATAAACAAACACTTCCTTTTATTCTCTTTCCAAACATAATAATTTTCCAGATTTATTCTGAATCACATTCATTGTTAAAAATCCTAAAAAACAAATAATTAAGAAATATCAGTATGTATGTATCTATATGATTTGTACCTTTTGGTGAAGTATATTTGACCAGGTGGTTTTTCAGTTCAGATTAAAAGCTAAAGTTCTTACATGTAGACTTATAAGGCCTACATTATCTGAGCACGCCTGCCCTAATTCCTCTCAGATTTTATCTTTTGCTATTTATTCCAAATCATTGGCACCAGTCCCACGGGCCTCCCTGCTTCACCTTTCTCTAGAGCATTGCTTTGACTTCCCTCTACCTGTAGTCTTCTTCCCTGATAAATCTGTAAAGCTGACTTCTTTCCCTCCTGAAATACTGGCTCACGCTTCACCTTTGCAGTGCAATGACCTATTTAAAATTACTAGACCTCTTTATCTCCCTATTTGTTACTTCCCCAAAAACACTTATCACTTTCTAACACATAATATTGTATGTTGTCTCCTCAACTTCATTTTAGTTCACAAAGGCAGAGACGTTTCTCTATTTTGTTTACTCAAGTCTCCTTGATCAAGTACATAGTAGACACTCAGAAAAAAATTTAACTGACCTAATCAATGAATTTTTATGTAATGTAAGTACACACATGCATAGATGCATAATGCATATAATTGATCATTAAGAATTGTGATTTCACAAGCAGTCACTGGACTTCAACAAAATTTCAGAAGTATTTACTAAATTAATAAGCTGTAAAGGGGGAAGGTATATTGGTGGTAGTGGGTATAAAAGAACTGCAATACTGTCCTGTCCTCAAATAACTAGTCTCAAAACTTGCTAACAGTCTTTAGGGAAAATGCGGCACATATATGTTAAATTTTAAAGAAAAGTAGCAGAAATTATATGTCCAAGTACTAAAAGGAACAGTAAATCACTGTGCATGTCAAAAAGAGCCATGACGCTGATGAGCTAGAGTATTTAGATAGCCTAAAAGAAGAAAATAATAATTTAGAACTTGCTGTCTCCTAGAAGCCTCTTTAGAGATCTCCCAAATACATGATTATTTCTTATTGTTGCAAGAGAATTTTTTTTGGCATTTGCTCCATGGTAAGTGAACTAAAGGTCATGAATACATTACTAGATTCCAAGGCAGAGGTTGACTTCTGTTGTTAAACAGGCACATCTTCCACCGAAAGTGCCTTTGCTCCTGTAATTGTCCAGTTGTCAAGTTTCTTTGCCTTACTTTTCAAAGCACATTTACATAGAGGAAAATGTGTATGTTGAGGAAATGACATGATAATACTACCATATTTTGGATTTAAAGAGTCTCTTTCTTCCAAAAAGCTAATTTTGCATCAATGCATATAAACTCATTAATCTTGTCTTATCTTTATTGGGTCTGGATAACCCAGTTTATTAAATGATGAAGACCAGGTCAGGAAAGGTGAAACAGCTCACACAGAATTATACAGATAGTTAGTAGAGCTGCTAAGACAAATATCCGAATGTACTCTTTGTTCAATACATAATCCTATGTGTAGCTGTATTGGAGTGGAGGCTATCTCTCACCATTGTAAGTCATCATCTCAGGTCATATCCAGTGGCAGAGGACATAAGAGATAATTTAAAACATAACCAGGGTTTTTATAACTCGTTTTTGCCTTTCAATCTGAAGATGCAAAATACTACATTTAGAGGATAAGAAAGTGAATGAGGCCATTTCATGATACTGAGACAATATTGTATGTCTTGTCTCGGTTTACAGTGTGAACATATTTTGAAATGACTGAGCATATTTTGAAATGACTAACTATAAAAAGAACATTAATGTACAGCAAGTGAAAATAATGCAATAGTGTGTAGCATGAGTAGGGGTAAGAGGATACAGCTGTGTCATTTTGGCCTACTGGAACCAGTATAGATTTTTCCCTCAAGCTCAGCAGAAATGTAGCTCTTGGAGTATATAGTAGCAGTTTTCCTTTCTGCTTGGAGATTTCAAGTTCAAGGCACCTGAGCTAGTTTAATATGCAGGCCTGCCTGTGACTAATCCAGCAGGTTTCTCATGCTGTTCTTGCTAATGCAGCTAACTTGTTTCTTACTGGCTATCGGTTCTTGAGGTATATAAATATTTTTCTCTCTGCTTTGAAATAGTTATGAATATACTGAGAACTAAAAAACCTGGCGTTTCAAAGGCCTATTCTGTATTAGCAGATAAATCGTATTGCTGTGAGAGTTGAGAAAGTGACATAGTATAAACTTCTTTTCATTAGTTAATTTAGTTTACCTCATTTCTTTTCACTCTTTAATGGAAATTGTTCAGACTTCAAGAATAATTTAGTTTCTTTCTAGACCCATTAGTACATCCTATAAGCTTTATCAGCATTGTGGGTTTTTTTAATGATACAGAAAGAGAATCTAAAAGATAAAAAGTATAACAATAGCATGTTTATTGGAGTTTGAAACGTGGTTGCTCATTTTAGCCAATGTAATTTTAAATAGTCAAAAGCATTGAAATATATTTATTTAATAAGTTCATATGCCTGAAAACTAAAATTTGATGTTTGGAAGAAAATGAGTTTCAGGGTTTTTTCCCTTAGCCAGAGCATTGAAAATTAAGGAAACTGTTTACTAGATCATTTTATCCCAGCTAATGAAACTCTCTACCAATTTGGTTTATCTGACAATTATTCAGAGATTAAAATATACTCTATTGTAATATTAAATCTCCAATATCTCTAATTTGATATGAGTATACCTTTATAGGTAATTATCAGAGGAAAGATGAGATGTTCTTTTACCTTCGCCAGCCCCTCTCCATCTGCCTTGCCCCTCCCCCTTATAAAATCTCCTAACTCCTATAATCACTCTGTGAAGTCATGTTCCTGAAGCCTGAAGGTCTTGCTGTTCAATGTGCTCTGACAAGCTGATTTGCTTAAATTCAGTGCTTTGTGCCATGCCCGTGAATTTGAGCTGATTATACTGCCATTTTTCAGAGATATGCGTTAGAAGTCATGTGTGCCTAATTCTGAAAATGGCTTTGTACATTAAGGCTCATTTAACCACTGATGGTTAGAGAAAAGTTGAGAGACTTATGGTTACTGGTCATAATTTTAAAATACAGTAATAGCATGTACTGCAGGCTATAAGATGCTATGTTGTTAGCTTCTCAGTTATTAGGAATGTTGAGATTTTGCTTATGTCTTACTGGTCAAGATGTCACAGAGAAGATATGTTTAGTCATGGGAAAGAAAAATCAGTGTCCAGCATGCATGGATAGCAATAGGGTAAGCACTTCCAACTGGATTTTCATAGGAGAGATTGATTGTGTGCATTACTAGATCTGTGTAAAATGGTGTCCTTTTGGCACTTAGCTGAATATAAATTTCAGTAAATGTTTTTTCTTCTTGTAAATTAGGGTAATACAGTGAAATTTTCTGTAACTGGGGGGAGGCAGTGGTTGGGCATCTGTTAATAGCCTGAAAGTAACTAATGAGGATGTGCAGTCAGAACGATTGATTGAATAGCTGCAGTCCTGTGTGTTTCTTTCTCGCTTGCTCTCCCTGCAAGCTGTAGAGAGGGAGGGGGAAGAGCAAGACACAGGGAGGGAGTGAGAGAAAAAACGCTTTCTCTCAAGTGGAAGTAGCACGGATCCCAGGGGCCAGGAGGCCAGAAATGGAAGTTTAAACTGCATTTATCTTTTAAAGAGAGAACAGCAGGAATCAAAATGTCAGTCTCCGGAGTCACGATTTACTCCTTATTTTCTAAGATCTGGAAGATAACACAGAATACTTTTTTTAGGATGTGTTTTTTTTTTTCCTTGTCCATGTTGAGATTATCTAATGTTATCTAAGAAGCTGGATTCCTTTATGTCTGTCAGTTGAAGTGGAGATGGGAAGCAGTTGTGATAAAGGTATAATATGTATATATCTATCCTCTGTGTGTGTGTGTGCATATATATGTGTGTGTATATATATCTCACTCTATGAAAAAAATATTAAAATGTAGCCTTATTACAGTGTATAGTAAATACATAGGAGGAGATCACATTAGTTGCTTATTAGGTCAGTTGCACAGATTCCTGATTCCAGAGTAAGATCTTAGTAAGGTCATATTGCCAGAACAAGGAGAAGCTGATCTATTTTTATATCTGCATAAGCATATATATTATTTTATCCTGGCAGCAGCTTTCAGTCTTCTCATAGCCGTTTCATTGCAGTCTGGTGAATCATCTTTTCTGCACAGAACCGAACTTTGACCTTTGTGCAAACACCATTAAATTATGTGCACCACTAGACTATATTTGATTCACAAGAATATTAGAAATTTCATTTCATTCTGTTAACTCCTACATTGCTGACAAATAGACAAGTAGATTCATATACTATGAGATACAACTATTAAGTGAACTTAAAAATATTAAACAGCTCAGAGAATTATTTTTTATATGTGCACAGATGAAAATTTAAGCTGTCACACTAAAACATACTTAACTATGACCAAGTTTCTCTAGTGTCTTGACAGTTTGAACACCTACAAGAGAGATGAATTACATATGGATAGAATTTAATGTACCTTTAAAGCAAGCTGATTTTTTTGTGAAAAACCAATAATTTTACAGTCAAATGCAAGATCTTAAATTCTGGGTTCTTAGTGATATTTCAACTTTCCCCCTCTTTTCTAGAGGTACCAGCAGAAAGGTCCCCTCGCAGACGGAGTATCTCAGGGACCAGTACATCAGAGAAACCCAACTCCATGGACACTGCAAATACCTCACCTTTCAAAGTACCAGTAAGTGGTCATTTTCTCTATAAGAATATCTTACTTTTCTCCTGTCTTCTTAGAGTTAGAGACAGTTATTAAAGCAGCCAAACATTTTTTTCCTCAAGAATTTCTTTATAATACCAAAGTTAAATGACAGACTTATCAACCTGTATAGACTAACTATGGTTAATGTCCACTATGTCAAGTATAAAGTTTATTAGGTTTTAGGGAATAGTATTTTTACTTTGGGTGTATCTACAAAATATGTAATTAACAACATTAAGTTCAAATTCCTCTGAACTATAAAGTTCAAATCCTTGCAGATATTCTTTCATTAAGTTGCTGGCTGAAACATACCACAATTCTGTAAAGATGCTGGTGGAAGTTTTTTGCGGAGGAGTAGGAGATGGGGTATGAATTTTTTATTTTTCAGAGCTGGAGCATAAGCAGAGAGTGATGAGACTCATAAAATTATAGAGCAGATTCACAGAAAATTAGTCAGTTGTGAATTCTAATCCTGCAACTTGACCTGTGCTTTGCTTAAGCCATCTTTTAGACGACTGTCCAAGTTTTTAAGGAATACCCTGAAAGAAGGTAACTCCTGAAAGTGACCAGGCAGTACTGGGAATCAATATTAAATACTAAAGAATGCTGAGATAGAAGTGCCTTGTGTGATAAGGTTGACTGACTATGAGTTACGGGCCTAGTTTGGACTTTTTTGATTTAACTCTGAAAAACCTAGATTTTAAAACATCTCTTTTCTTGGGTAAAAATACACTTATTTCCTTGTCGTTTTATTAAAATTTATTATTACTTGAAATTTTTTTATACTTGTTAAGAATGGCATCATGAAGTTGGTCGTTATTCTAGGTACAATGGAAATCAATATAAGGTAGAAATAGACTTCCCTATGAAAAACTTTTTTCTCTTGATTCAGCCGAGTTAATGTAGTGCATTCTTTCTTTCTTTATCCCAATTTTTTTTGGGGATGACCTTTTAAGTAGAACTGATTTTTTAATATATACATAAATGAATATCTATGTATGGGATAATCAAAATGGATGTTTTGTTTTTTATTAACCCCGAGGTGCAAGATTTCCCCTTGTTGTATTTCAGGCCTTGTAGAATTTGTGGATATCTGCTACTGTGACAGCTTTCAAATTTTTATCACAAGCAAGTGTTGGATTAATATTCAAATTATAACAAGTTTTACCATGTCAGATTTAGTGCCTATTACTAAATTTCTTTGTTCCTTAGACAAAGCTGCCTGTGTTTTATTTTGTTCCATAAATGAAAAAAGCGTTTTTTTCCTTTTCTTTCTTTGTTTTCTTGATGATGCAGATATCAATAGAGGAAAACTGACTATTCACATGCAGAGTTTGATGAAAAGGTTTGAGTTAGAGTTTGAAGTTTTCATACCATCGTGGTGGAACCATTCATGAATGAGGAATTCTTTTTTTTTTTGAGTTGGAGTAGTGCAGTGGCACACTCATGGCCACCTCAGCTTCAACCTACTGGGCTCCAACAATCCAAGTAGCCAGAACTATAGGAGCGCACTACCACGCCCGGCTAATTTTTTATTTATTTGTTGTAGAGACGAGGTCTCGCCAAGTTGCCCAGGCTGGTCTCAAACCTGTGGGCTCAGGCAATGCACTCGCCTCGACCTCCCAAAGTGCTGGGATTACAGACTGAGCCACTGAACCCAGCCATGAATGAGGAATTCTTACTTTTTTTTTTTGAAAAAGTTAACAACTGAGGAAGACTATCCCTCTGCAGTGTGATACATCCTATTTTAAGTCTGAAGTTCATGGTCAGGTTTTTAAAATTTGAGCTAATTAAGAACCATAATTTTCATTTATTTGTAAACAATAAGTTAACAACTAATTTAAGATTTATCTTAATAAGACTATTTTTTGGTTCTAATTATTCTTGAGTAAAAGTTATAAAGCAATGATGGATATGCACAAAAGCTAGCACTACTTAAAACCATGTACTTAGTTGACAGTCCTCTGACAATCTCAGCCACCTCAGAGATATAGAAATATTGAGGGAAGGAAAGGGCCCTTGACTAGCAAATAACAGTCACAAAGCCCATGTACTTAGCTCTCAAGGAGAATTTCAGTGTTCACAGGCCTCACCTAAACAGTTTTCTGAAAAGTAGCTATCAGAATACACTGATTACAATCACAACAAAAGTATCAGTAAGCAGAAGGAGGAGGCAGAGAAAATGAAAGACAGAGAATGATAAAACCAATCTGAATCCATTTAGGATAAAGACAAACAGCCTTATATTTATTAATAACTCTTAAGGATACCATCATATTACAGGATGGTCCATAGTGCAGAAATGGACATTGCTAATAATCCTGAATCGTCAAGAAAAAGCAAGATTATATTTGTTGTGCTGGGTTTTTTTTTTTTAAGTGGAGATGTGTAATATTATTTGGCATGTATTCCATTAAGAATATTTAAAATCTTGAAGATATGTGATGTTTATATAACTTGTTATCCAGAAAAGTCTGTGAAGTACCTCATTCCTCATACCAAAATAGGCTGGCTAAACGAAGCACTGCAGTACTTGGATGTCTGTAAAAGTACATTGTATTTTTAAAATTTTCATATAATACCAATAGCTAATGTGAATTCTATCACTAAATATATTGTTGATTTAAAGAATGTCCAACTTTCAGGTCAAAACAAAATATTTTTGTAATTAATATCACAACGGACTCTTTGAATATGGGAAGCCCATATAAAAAAGAGCTAAACTTTGAGATATTTAACTTTAAGTTATATACACAATATCTCAAAGAAGATTATTTCCTTGTTGACTTTATGAAGAGACAGAAGTGATATTTTATTATAAGTACTAGTGGTTCTTGCATTCAGGTGTCATTACTATGGTGAGCAGTAGGTTTACCAGTCATCAAGTAGACCCCCAATATACTAGTAGTGAACTCTCAGAAAGGACCTTATTCTTCCCACCTCCATTTTCAGACTTATTGAGGAGGAGATGGAATAGATTTTACCAAGTCCTGACTGAAATTATTTACAATGATACCGCTACTGAATGCTTACTTTGGGAAAAGTATTGGGGACTCACCAATTACTCATGCCTCCTTCACATACTATGCTTGGTACTGGGGAAACAGAAATGAACACAACAGAGTTTTTCATTTCCAGATACCTTATAGTCTGATAGCAAAAACTATCAAATTCATAAAGAGGTACGTAACCATGGTAACACAAGAGCTTGACAACATAAATTGTTAACACAATGTGTAAGTTAAGACTTTAACAAAGGGTGATATTTAAGCTGAGTTTCAAAGCCTGAAAGAAAATAATTGACCGAGAAAGAAGAATATCCAGGCTAAACAAATGACATTTTGGCAAGATACACATGATGGGGTGACTGATGCTTCCAGGGAATATAGAAAGGATTCAGTGAAACAGGAATCAAAAAATATGTGGGCAAAAATGGCAGATGAGAAGGGCAGAAAAGTAAGTTGGGGCAAGACTGTGATTGGGTTGTCAAGCTTAACTAACTTACACTTGTGGCTGAAGCATTAGCGATGTGTTTATTGGAATATTTGTCTTTGGCTCAAAAGCTAAAAGTTGTATGCACTTTGAAGTATTTGTATTACTTGTATTCCCTTAAGTGACTCTTTTTTCTTTTTGCTGTCACTATCCCAATTAAAGGTAGTAGGTAAGGAGCCGTCATTCAGTAGAAGGTGAGCCCAGCACTCACCCCTGGCCCTTGAGTTGACACTACTGATTTTTCTAGAGTAGAGTTAAGCCTTAGGGAGATAGAGGAGAAGCCAGTAGGTAAGGTTTGCTCTTGTCCTGCTGGTTGATGCCAGGAAAGGCAGAAAGAAGAATAACTACAACAGTGAGCTTAAAACAGAAAAACCCCAAAACTTTGTATTTCTTCCTCATTCACAAAAATTTATACTTTTAATAACTTAAAATAGGTAACTGGTACAGCAGAGTATTCATGTATAAGGGCATAGAAATGAGGGAAGAGGAATAAACTTATATGGCTACTACACCTATAGGTTAAGACAATGTCTTAGTTTTTAGGAATGTTTGAATATATTTGTACTTCTACCTAGTCATAGCCAAAAAAAAAGCTGTGATGTGCAGGATAGTTTTTCTTTTCTCCCTTCACTCTTATTCCTTATTTCTTCACACATACCTTAATTCTGGTTGCATTTATTTGTTTTTAGGTCTCTGTCCCTCATTAGACAATGAAAATATATTCTGATCATCTTTTTGACAACTTTAGTGCCTAACACAACCTCACACATAACAAGCATTCAACAAATGTTGAGTAGATAAAATATGCATGAATTATCAAAGGACCGTGACTGAAGGAGTGTATCTCACACATATTCTCATGGTATTGCTGATAATATCTCTAGTCAAATAGAATATTGAATATTTAATGACATTTAATAAACAATAAGAGATCATTTAGGATAAATTAGTATACCTATGCAAAATGTTTAGTTTTTTTTTCTCTTAACACAGAGAAATTCTAATTAATATTTGGAATTCAGAGCTATGGTATTTTATGTATATAGTGTATACTCTGTCTACTTACGTTAGAACGTGAAAGTAGATAGAATTCTGTGATTATTTACTTCTGTGAATATCTTTGAACCCTTTAGGTATTATACGTATGTATAAATTCACAATGTTTTTGCAGATTCGAGTTTTGACATTAAATTCTTCAAAAATAATTTTAGTCATTTGAAATTTTTGCCTCTTTTAGTGATCATGTTTTTCATTTTTTCTTTAGCATCCTGCTAGACTTTTTGTCTTTGTTTATTTGTGTTTTCCTTTAAACAGAACACCTATTGTATATTTTATATATTGCAAAAACTACATTTAAATAATATTACGGGGGTTATGGGAAACAAGTCAGTAATGAGAAGTTATCCAGGTACATACTTAAATTTAATTCAGAAACAGAAGATGATCATGTCTTATAATTGTGTATGTTAGTTTCACAGTGCCTGAGCTTT